GTGGTGGTGGTGGTGGTGCTACTACTACAGCTGCTACTCCTACAATCACTACTCCTGCTCCTACTACCACTAGTACTACTATTCTTGCAACAACAATTACCACTACTAACTACTACTACTGCTGCTGCTGCTGCTGCTGCTGCTGCTGCTTTTGCTACTACCGTTACTACCACCACTACTCCCACCACAACCTTCACATGCCCTTAAGAAACCCTCGAGAAGCCCTCGTAAGACTTGGAAACGTGTATGAAGATGTTAGAAACCCGTAGGAGGCCTTGGAGAAACCTGCAAGAGGTCCGTGTACAACTTTAAGAAACGTTGAGAAACCGTGAGAGCGACCACTAAGAAGCCACACAGTAAGTTTTCATCCTCTGGGTTTCCCGAACTTCAATGTTATGCAACATGCCGCGGCAATGGTACCGCGAAAGTTCTGCGACATGTTTTCGCGAAGAAGGTCATTCCCGGATGAAGGAATGTAGATCAACAGCCACATGTATGCCAGTGGTTGTCGCCGTTTTCCAAGACAAGCCAAGGTGCGCTTGTGGTGCGACCTTGTCAGCAGATGCGGCAGGCAGATTGAGAGTTGCCTAACCAACGGGCCTGATGCCTGTCCACGTGTCAATGTGGCTTCACATTTGGTGAAGGAAGATTGTTGCACCATGTCTCCAAGCAAATACTTGGTCGGAGATGATCGCGGTCTCTTGGGCTTCATGGACACTGTGCATTCTTGATATCATTTCCGCCGTGCATGTCGATTCCGTTTTCCAAGGGGAGCAGGCAGGCGTCGGAGAGGGCTCCACGAAGATGTGCACTTGCACAGGCCCTCTCAAGGACAGAGCCCCTCCGACAGATGTCATGTGGTGCACACTAGTTTGAACGATTGGTTTTTCTCCTCTCTTGCAAAGGACGGCCGCTTTACAGAGCAAAAGGCCTATGCGATGCATGGAACACTTCTGTTTGATCGCTGATCTTTGTTCTCGGCTGCGTTTCATTGAAAACCAGGTGGCGCATGTACGGTTCAGGTGGACAGTCAGTTGCCGAGGTATGTCTGCAGCCAGTGTAGCATACGTTTATTTAGAATGCTTATGTTTGTGGGTATATTTGTGTAGATGTGTATGCAAAATCGTAGATTTAGATGTGTATGTGTATATGCGTATTTGCCATTCACTCTCCAGTGTATGCACACGTACTTATATGCCTCTGCAAGCGCATGTCATATCGTGTCACTGTGGAGTTATTGACACATATGTTTGCAACACGGCCGTGGTGAAACAGTAAACATGGGCTGCGGAGGCGATCGATGGCGCCTGTGCGCGACTCTGGTCGCCATGCAGTCCGATACAAAAGGCTCTCACTCTACTATCTAGCGCTCTTGTTGATTCGCTCGAGACGACAACTGCAGGCGCAGTGCTGCTTGCCCATGGCTTAGTTTGCAAGTTGCTTGCTGACCTGCTCCCACACCAACAACAAGTCGGCCGAGAAGAAAGCAGCCAGGTCCGAACCAGCTCGGATGCGGGAAGGGAGCAGCTTGATGGCGAGTTGGGTGTTCTTTTTGGGCAAACTGGTACTTCAGTTATTGGTAGTACTGGCAGCAAAGCATGACATCTCAGGAGGAAAGCGGTGCTTTTGTGCCGGACCATCTCCGGTGGGGGCATACAAGTCGCAGAAGGCGACGCCGGCAGTGACATCGTAGCATCGCAGAAGTCTTCATGTCAACTCGGCAGGAAATCGATGAGGAATGCAACAAAATCGTGCAGTCGCATGCTCAGTGTTGTGAAACTATCTTGGGAACCCCTCCCTCTCCCTGCCTGTTTTGGGCGGTTTGCAGGTCCTGTGACGACCTATCAGCAAGCGACTGTTGCTCGCAGATGCCAGCACAGGCTGGGGAGCGTGCTTCGAGATATCTACAGTGTTACTTTGTGCAACTGGGTGAGGTTCGAGTAAGCGACGGCTATGAACGGTGCTGGTGCTCGGCACCTTTCTCTTACGGAAGCTTGCCTCGCACTTGATGCATGCAACTGGCAGCTACCGAGCAGAGCGCTGCGACCATCAGGAAACATCTCGTATTCCCAGCAGCAGATCGATTTTGTCTGTTCGTCGGTCCCAGCCTTGGCCACATTTGGTGCTCTGCATACAAAAATAATCTGCCACAATGCAGGCACAACCTCCTACTGTGGACCTCAACTGACACACGTGAAGGTTTCGGGCTTCGGGATGCAACATTTCAGTCCCGGTGAAAAGCTGAAGGCCCAGACCGGAGACTGGAGAGCAGCAAGAAAAAATGTCTCATGCATGGGCCTGCATGATATCTGTTATCTGGCATTGAAGATCTGCTTGATGGCAGGCCGCTGGAGGGCATGGTCTTAACACCGTGGCGACCCAAAGCAGTTTCGGGGACCGCCCTGCGTGGGTTCCCATGTCCTTCAGGTCGCAGGCTTCCCTGCTGTCGGATCTGATGGCAGATCACGCTGCGGGGGCGGACTGGAAGTTGTCCCGCAACAGTCTGGATGTGCGAACTACATGGACGGAGCTACGCTTGCATGGTGTTCGCATGCAGTCTGGCGCGCTAGGACCTGGCTTTAGTGGGTGAGAAGGGCTCCGGCAAGTCTGCAATCGTTCTGCACCTCAGCTTCTTGTCATTAAAGCTTTTGTCGAAATTTGCAGTCGACGGTTCCAGGTCCGTGCTTTTGCGGCCTTGCTTGGCTACAGGCGAGATTCTGATGATCAGCAGTGAGCTTGCAGGTACGTTTGCATGTTGCAGGACCCGCAGTCTCTTCTGCTATCGGGACATGAGCTCTCGCGACCTCCTGCAGCGCCGCATGTGGGGCCCAGAAGATGCACCTGCGCAAAGGAACAAAGAATCCGAAGAGACTTTGACCTGAGGACTGATCCACTCGGTAACACGGAGTGGAGGGACTCCTCCGTCGTGGAGGTCTGACCTTGGGACATCTTGGGACAGTGCAGCAGGCAGGCCCAAAGAATGCAGGCAGCCATTTGCGGCGACCTGGCCATCCTCGATGGTGTCCATCGTCTTGCCAAGGCGAAGTTGGGGCACAGGACCTTGTGGCAAGGGCTGAAGCCGAATGGTGCTGCAATAACGCTTTGATCGCGGCTTCCTGCTTTTTCAGGGCAGTCTCTATGCCACCTTGGCACCTCTGCTTTCGGACCGTGCGTGCGCTCTGCCGGATGGGACGCTGCCCCCTAAGCTTAGGAAGGAGCTATGAGTTCCCAGGCTGTCAGTCCGCCATTATTCTTGTCGCCTGCTACAGGCTTCTGTGCTCTCCACGATTCTGGGAGAAGTGGTCAGAAGGCTCCTATCCACTGCATTGGCAGTTACAGGTTGCAGACACTTTTTTTACCATAATGTCCTTTTAAGGGCAGTTGTCTGGTCGGTTTTGAAGTCAGAGGCGGCAGCCTGGCCGCACTGGGCGCTCGCCAGGCTTGCCATGTCCAGACCACATTGCGCTAATGCGCCATTAGGCGCCCATGCTCGGCAGGTGCACCCGGCTTTTCGGCTCATAGTGTGTGGGGAGACTCCGGAGTCCCTGGGCAAAGCTGTCCCACTCATCGGATGTCACGAGCTCATGCTCGAGCCCCAGGTCGGGACAATCTCGCGGCTGGATAGACGAGGAGGCCTAGCTCATGCAGACATTGAGGCAGCCGGACTTGAGTTGTCCTGGCAGGTTGGGACCCTTTTCCATTTCCACGCTGTCGCGGCCCTGCCCAGCCACGAACAGTCGAGCTCTTGGTCCTGCTCGTCCCTAGTAGGGTTTTGAGTTACATGGCAGAGGGCCCGCAAGCAGCGTCGCGAAAACAGTTCCGAGCCGATACACCGACACACCTTTGCACCCGTGAGCGCGAGTGCGGCGTGTCGATGCATCAGCGCGTCGTCATATTTCCCTTCGGCGCGCCGGCTGCGGGCCTCTAACGGCCTAAGCCCGCACCGATACACCGATACACGGGCATATCTGCGTATCAGGGTACTTCCGGATCCGGGTATATCGGCATAACATTTCCCTTCCGCGCAGTGGGCACTGGGCAGGGCACTGTATGAGAGTTCTGATTTAAAGATCCGGGGCGCCCCCATCGGTCCATGGCTCCATCCTGTCAGTCCAAGAATTCGGATAACAAGAAAATCGGGGTGCCCCATCAGTCCAAGGGTCATAAGAAGACTTGAGATTAAAAGAATCCGGGGCACCCCGTCAGGCCTGTGCAGTTCAGGGACAAGGCTTCGGCCCGGGAGGCGGAAAATCTTTGGCAGCCCCCAGCTCAGGACTAGGTTGGACCATGTTGGACCCTCTTCTTGCACGGTGCCTTAGCTAGCTCAGGGGTATATAGTGCAGAATGCACAAAGCGAACGAGAAGACAGCAAGTTCGAACACTGCAGCCAACCGGCTGGCGATTCCGGTAAGCTTCGGCCATCCATCAACAGAAATCCCCAGGGAAAACACTCAACCCTGAACCCATGCCCTGAAACATCCCTGTCCCTGTCGAATTAACATGTTTGACGGGTCGGGGGGGGTTTGGGGGGGGCTCGGCCTGTGAGCGGGAGGGTGGTCGGATTGGGGTCAGGGCGACTATTTGCAGGCACGCTGATCGGCAAACGCAAACAAACACGAGCATGATCCTAACAGCTCTTCAGGCGAAGCTTGGCGGTCCTATGTGCTGCGACAGCAGCCGAAGCCAAGGACCCATGTGTTCCTGCTGGTGCTTGTTGTTCAGTGCCGCGCCGCAGTAAGTAGTGCAATGGTTGGACGTGCTTTTGATAGCCAGGTAAGGTCTCTGCGCTGGAGGAGGGTACAAGTGTAAAGCACATGAGGACAAGCCAGTCGACAAGCTGCTCGCATACGGCTTCAGACTCAGTTCTGCATGAAGCTTTGCTTACACGGCCCTCTAAGCCTTGCAATTGCTTAGGCCAGGCTGCCAAAGCTGCAGTCTCCAAGGACGCGGACCTCAGGCCTCTTCAGCTAAGCCAGAGTCTAAGGCATGCGCCTTTGGCCTCCTTTGGCCCCTTGGCTTTGCATTGCCTTTGTGTCGCCACTTGTCTCTAGGCCTTCGCGCACTGCTCCGGGCCTCCAGGCTTCTTGCGAATCCCGGGTCAATGCCGCTTCGATGAGCTTCGCTGCCGTCTCCGGGCAGGCATCTGTGCCTGCGGCCGGAAGATGCCGCGGGCGCCATAGCTGCAGCCTCGGTTTCGAAAGCTTCGTAGGAGACAGCACGCTCAAAGGAAGAGAAGGGGCTTTATGATTGCTGCTTTAGATGCTGCAGCACATCCCATGCGCATGTGTTCTTTCCTTGCAGGACAGAACATGCAGGCACATTGCGTCAGGCATATTTTCAATGCCCTTGGTCTTCAAGTTTTGCTTTCCCCAACCTTTTTAGATTGTCAGTGTGTTTTTTTGAAAGGGCCACCTTTGCGGACACAGCTGAGCTTTTGCCTTGCTAACTTAAGTGTGCTTGGCTGAAAGGCGCGCGCCTTCTCGGCGCGGTTGACGTTCCTACCAAGCTCTCAGCGGCAGCTTGGTAGGTAGCTCAGCCAACCGGGAGCGCTTCTCATGCCAGGCCGACAGGCTAAGTTCAAATCGTTTGCTAGGCGAGAAGCTCCTGGCAGAGGCTCGGCTGGGTGTTGGGATAGGGCTAATGAAGCCGTCAAGGTGCCACACTACGACCGTGGTACTCCAACGGCTCTGAGAAACATGTGTGGCATGATTTTTCTCACTGCCTTTCGTTCATCAGCAGGCAGGAATCCGACCCTCTCCGCGAGAGACGAACATCACGGCTTCTGAAGTTGCGGGACAGCATGCTGCTGAGGAATGCATGCAGCGTAGCTCTACACTTGGAACTTGGCAGTTCAGCTCATAACAGCACACAGATTTTCCAAATTCGCAAGGTTGCAGCTGGGCAGCGTGCGCTGTCAACTACGCACACCAAATCGACCGGAACTTGTGCCGCAGGCACCCTTCGGCGGTCATCAGCCTGCATCTGCGACAGGCGAAAAATGACAGGTTCATTTCGTTGAGACCCCCGCTCACATGACCTTACTGCCGTGGCCTGGATCGTGGCAGTCGATGCAACCGATTTCCGATTCCTGCTAGCTGCTAGCTGCTAGCTGTTAGGCAAAGCATGCTGGTGAGTTGGATTGCCGGACAGTCCAGCACTGAGTGATGCATTCGCACCACCAGCAGATGTTCAAATCTCCGGAATCCGGTGCATAACAGGCATCTCTTGCTGGTTGGCAACCAGGGCGTCGCTGGGCTTACTTCTGCACGGGAGGCGTGCTTAGAATCCGACGGTTCCTTCAGGTCGGAAAGAACAAGCTTGCAGATCAATTACTGGGCTTGCTTCGTTGTGAACGCGAGTATGCCGTCGCCTGAGGGAAACCAAGACTTGTTGCGGACAACTCCGGTCCCTTGAGCTTTCATCTGGATTGCTACTAGTATGAATTCTGTGAAGCGTAATCTTGCGGGCATGTGTTGGGATTCGGCAAAGCCAAGGATTTCAATAGACTGGGGGAGCGGAATTGAATGACCAGAGCAGGGCCATGGAGTTTTGTCCTAAGCGAGTCTGAGGTCCAACTGCACCGTGACACTACCGTGCAGAGCTTGACCCTGTCCCCAACTCTGGAGGCGAGCAGCGTGCTTTCGCGTTGTCCTTGCAAGCGGGAACCGCGCACTTGACACGCTTGAGAACTTGAGAAGAAGCATAACACCAACCGTTTCAAGCGGTAGCTACCACTTGATCCACTGGTGTTTTCAAACGGTGTGTCCCACTTGACTCGTTTAGGGTTTAGGGGTTAAGGGTTTAAGGGCTTATGGTTCAAGGGTTAGGGGTTTAGGGCTTAAGCCTTAGGGCTTAGGGTCTAGGGATCAGGGCTTAAAGTTTTGGGTTTAGCGTGTAGACGTGTGGCTTAGGGTTTAGGTAGGGCTTAGGGTTTAGGGTTTAGGGCTTGCGGTTTAGGCTTTGGGGTTCAAGTGGCACAAGTGGCAGGGCTTAGGGATGTTTAGGGTTTAGGGCAGTTGGCAGGGTTCAAGCGTGTCAAGTGCGTCAAGAGGGACATACCATTTGCAAAAGCTTGGCGTTTCCCCCAACTTTCACGCGTGTCGAGACGGTCGTTTGCATGAAATCAGATAATTAGCGGTTCCCGTTACCCCCGCTCACTTTGCTTTTGCCAGCGGTCAAGCCTGCGGCTCCAGCTTCTCAGCTTAAAGCCAGGCTGGCGTGGTTGGATGGCAGGATTCTGCACTCATTCGCGCAGCGCGCGCAGGGAGATGTCTTGTGGTCGGCAGCTTGGCCACGGTTGTCGAAGCGCGGGCGAAGCGAGAAAGCACTGCGAAGGTGGATGAAGCAGATAAAGCTCCATTGGAGGCCAAGAGCATTCTGGTCGGTAGGTCGCATCGTGCAAAGTTACAAAGAGCAGGATACACTGATCTGCACAGCTTCCTTTTGACCAGACTTCGCTTTACAGAGCTCGCATGTTGAGTAAGAGAGAGCATCTTGAGGGAGAGAGTGGTTTGCTTGTGAGGTGGTCTGCGTCCTCAAGGCTTGGATGACAACTGCAAGTCCATGGAACATGCGATAGCAACCAAACGCTCGAAGTCACAGGCTCTCGCAGAAGATGGCGAGCCGTGCTCTTACAAACAGACCATGCAGTAATGCAACAAGGCGAGCTGAAACTGTCACGGAAAGTGTCTGTAGATGGCCGTCTTGCTTCATACGCTTTCCCCCAGACGAAGCTTCGGCTCTCAGCGAAGATGCCTGGGACGCAAAGTGGAACAGTTCTCAGGCCCAGCACGTGCTCAAGCCAAAGATTGTTTCTTTCGCCTGCCTGCTATCAGTAAGTAAGTAAGCATAATAATTAAGCCCTATCAGTGGCCCTCACTCTGGACCGAGTCAACTTTCATTCCACGTCTCTTCCTGCTTCTGGCATCTTCTGGCACTTGCTGAGCATCTCTCGGACTTGACATGGTACAACTTGCGGAGGATAGCGTTCAGAATCACGTGCTCAGAAAGCGGAGGAATGCGGACATACCTGAAGAGGACTCGGAAGAGGAACCGCCCGAAATGCCAAGAACGCTATCCACAGACGAGGAATCAGATGAGTCTGGTGAAGAGCATTTGTACAGATCCGACCACGACTCCGACTATGGCGACTTGGATGTATTGAACGGTCGTGCACTTCGCGGCGGTCCGCAGAAGGTGCAGCTCTCCCGCCGCGTAGAAAAGCTGGTGCTGGACCTCAAAGAAAAGCAGGAGTTATTCAAGCGACGTCGCCGTGACCTGGCCAAAAACCTTGCCCAAAGCAACCTTGCCCGTGGAATCCGCAAGGAGTTCCTGCAGCAACAGCAACGCATCGTCTCTCGAAGTAGGCAGATGGCAAAGAAGCTTCAAAGCGGGCGCTCCCGGGCTTGGCGGCATAAGTGGGTCTTTGCCCTCGTACAGATGGACATGGCGGTGACTGCTTTCTGGATGGGAGCATCCCCACAGACATTTTACCTCTATTACACTGCGCAGATGGCTGTAGTGATGTCTTCCAAGGCATGCGATTACAGATTTACAGAGAAGCATTACTTCTTGCTGGACTTTTGCTTTTTCGCGAACTTATGTACCGTGCTGTGGCTTTGGGTATTTCCCACTTCTGGATACCTGTTCAACGCCATTGAGTCATTCTGCGGTTTGCTTGCCATTTCTGTAGTGGCATTCAGAAATTCCTGCGTCCCCCATGACTTTGCCCGCATCTCTAATGCTTATGTCCATTATCCACAGTTTCTACTCGTCCTGAGTGTGAAGTGGAGCTGTGAGGAGAGCCAGTGCTTGGGCATGGCCAAGGGTCGTGAGGCGAAGTGGTTTGTGCGCTTCTGGCAGGCATGGTCCGTCTACATGATCTGGGCAGTGGTTTATTCTTCAGTAATCTTCGGCTTCGCGCGTAAGCGCATCGAACGAAAGCAGAGAGAGACGCTGTACGGATATTTTGCCGACCAGCTTGGCTTCAAAGACAAGCTTCCACGCTTTCTGAGGCCACATTCGGGCATGATGTTCATGATTGGCCATCAAACTCTCTTTCTTGCCGGTGTAGGTTTCATATGGATTCCCTTTCCTTTGCAAGCTGTTGCAGCCCTCTTGTCAATTGTCATCTTCTTCCACAATGGAGGGCGCTTTTATGTCGATCACTTCTGGAAGGCCCACGAACGAAATACCGTCTTGTACGTGGATGCAGCCAGCAGCATGATGTCAAGCTCAGCAAAGGAAATGCCAGGCAGCTGTAGCAGCCTTGAGAGCAAAGAGACAGGCGACAGCCCTGCAAGAGCAGGGGAGGCTGCAGAAATCAGATCTTAAGTTCTGATTTTGGCAATTGAATAGTTTTCACGAAATGTTCAATTAGTCCCCCGGCAGCTGAGGAGCTGTCACGAAGTCTTTAGGGGTTAGGAGGAGAAGCCTACAAAAGTCCCGCCCTTCTTGGAAAAGAGCAGCTTCAGTGCTTCAGCAGCTCTCCGTCTCTTCACCATTGTTGCTTACGAAAACTGAGGCTTTCACTGCCCGACGGCCGTGCTCTGGTTCGTGCTTGCCTTGCCACAGCATCGCTAAACCTTACCGGCACTTCTTGCTCGACATGAGTGTTCAACCCGGCTTTGAGGTTCGAGCGACCCGAGGGCATCCGCTGGCGATTCTGACGAGCCAGAAGCCATGATGTCGGGTTTCCTTCAGCCTCGCAATAAGTGTCTTCCGTTTCTCAGCTTGAACCGGGTCCGCTCCCACTGGTCGTCGTTGGCGAGCAGGACAGCCTTGACCCTGATTGCCGAAGGTTTCTGCCCATTGCGGATGGCTTCCGGATGATAGTTCTGGCCAACAGGCACGATGCGTACTTCTATTGGTGGGGGCGGATTCGAAGGACGAGCATTCCACTCGGCAGGCCAGGATTTCCCTTTCTCGGCAATGACTTCTATCGGGTTTGTGGGGATGTCTTTGGCGGGCCTCTCAGCTTCCTTGCACAAGGGTTAGTTTGTTGGACGCAGGCTTCGAAGCTTCTTGTAGCATGCCGCTGAGATTGCCACGCTGTCGAGTACTTGGACAAGGAAAGTGAATTGGAACTTCTCCGGCAAACTGCACCGCTTGTGCCACAGGCCCTGTCCCCAGAAATGGGATACCTCTTTGGTCCAGCAGACGGAGTTTGTCATGGCTCCGCAGGAGAAGCTTGCCGCTCTGTCCGACCTTTTCTTGGACTTGCGAAAGCTCTCAGATGCCGGGCAGCTGTCCTACCCGCACCCAGGGCATACTCTAGTGTGTATGCTGACATAAGGCTGATATTTCACGTGCTGTCAGATCTTATGCAACCTTGAGGCTCCAAAACGGAGACACATAGAGTCACAGGCAGCTGTGTACAGCTGTGTACATTCGCATACCGGCGAGCGAGGGGTTCATAAAGTCCATGTGCGTAGTGGGATGGAAAGTACCTGCGATTTACAAGTTGACTGCATGCAATGCATTCCGTAAGTGAGCCTGAACGCACGCATCCTGGCTGCAGGTACTCCACTCGCGATTTGGTCAAGCTTGCAGCTCACGCACAGCATTTTCCAGGCCTTGGGTCTGATAGGACAGGTTCCAAGTCGTTGTGGCAGGGCAATTACCTGCGCATTTTGCAGCAGCCAGCGCTTGTTCTAGCAATGGTGTCGGTGAAGATAGCTGTACGTAGCCGATGCAGAACAATCTGCAAAAAAGGCAATAAAGTCGAACGATCGGCCACAATGCCGAAGCATTTGGGAAGCGGACGTGGTGGCAAGCATCCAAACATCTTAAGAACTGGATTTTGCATGCACAAATTTGATATCCAAGATTATCCATGCATGTACCGGTGTTTACCGGGCTGAGCCGTGGAGCCCGTACCACTCCAAACCCTGTATTTCAACCAGAATCGTTGCATAAACGTGGTCTGTTTCAGCATGATCGCCGCGATGCAATGCGTGTGGAAGTAGGACTTAGAGGGTATCATTCTCTTGCACAAAAGCGGTGCGTGAAGCTCCATGTTTTCTGTCCTGAGACTCGAGCGCTTACACAGGCTTACACTCTCATTCCAGACTTGCCCGATGTTGAAAGAGGTGATTCCTCGGAAGAGCTGGCTGCCAACGTCTTCGGCTTTGATGCGTACCAGGAGGATCAGCGCGATCGTCTGCTCAAGGCCAGCAGCGGGCATCAACTGCCCAGGTGCTGTCATGCATGTTGCTGTTGTCAGTGTTTGCTAAGCCCTGAATCGCACATGAAGGCTCTACGCCGCCACGGGTTCGAATCCCGGTTCCAGGGTGTTGTGGGCATTAATTTTTGGAAGGCAGCTTTAGTTGTGCTTCGACGTATCAGATAGCTTGATGCCAGCATAGCTTGCACCATTGTACGCGGCTCATGTTGTGCCATCATGATGCTCCTTCATGGAGAGCCACCCTCCGGAACACTCTGCTGGCCACGCTAGAGAATTATGTTGCCCACAAGCAGCAGCAGTCCCTTTAGGATCCTGCAGGGGCATTTAAGCCAACGTTCATCCTCACTTTGCTAACCTCGGGCGAGTGCTGCCGTCGCGTCGTGTTTCGCGAGAACTGGCCGTCGCTGTGCTTGCATTTCTAGGTTTGCCAAAGGGAAGGCCGGCGAGGCCAGGGCAGAGTAGCCTGGAACCTTCATGTAATCCGGGATTCCGCGTCCCTTTTGTCTTTCGCTGCGTCTGGTTGCAGCACTTGAGGAGGTATCAGGAGGTCTGCTACGAGGGATGCTGCTGTTGCGCTCATCTCATCAAACTCGAACGACCCTGCTTGCAGGCCGAATTGTTCGGAGAAAGCCGTGGAAGGAAGCATCTTCGACTCATCCAGCGATAGTCTCCGGCGGCTGAATTTGCTTTTTTACGATAGCGCCGGGCTTCTCAGCGATCGTTCCAGCAGCTTGGAGGAAGATGGATGTGTGTGTTGATACCAAGAGGTGTTCTGCATGAACAGTGCTGCAAGGCCCAACTCCGACAGTCACATGTGGTTCGTGTAATCCATGCGCCTGCGTGGTCTTGAGGTGCCTGCATGGATTCAGAGTTGTTTGGGGGTTTGTCATGACAAGAGCCCTTGCAAAGAGCTGGCAGGCTTCGATAACACTCGTGGCAATGAACTACTGAGCACAACAATACAACGGCATAACAATCCAATCGAGAAAAGATTGATCCGAATTGAACTATTTGAAATGATAATAATATATATAGACATTAGATTTATTTTTTCAATATTCCTTATTTAATGAACATATTTTCAAACACACAATAAAAACGAAGAAGAGCAACATATATGAGTTGATATATATATATATATGATATAGGTATAGGTGTGTCTGTCTTTCTCTCTCTCTATGTGTGTGTGGGTGTGGTTTTTTGCGTGTATTTCTTCCCTGGATCGGAGGATAGATATAATTAGCTACTTTCTCTCTTTCTCTTCCGGTAATTTCTCTAGCTTTCTATTCTCTCTTTAGTTTCTATTATCTGGAATTTTCTCGTTTATTTTTGAGGTCTTGGAAATAGGTTAAAAGAAATTTGCGGGCTTGCGAAGCAGGCGTAGAGAGAATATCTTTTTTATATATTTCTCATATATATTTTATATGTCATATATATATATATTATATTTTTTTTGCCGTATATTCTTCGTATATTTCTTATATATTCTTCTTTCTATTTTATATATTATTCTTTATCGTTCTCTGTATTCTTTTCACTACTTTTCTTGAGTGCTCTTATATTCTCTACTTTTCAATATTTTATTTCTCTTTGGAATATATTTTTTTTATAATCTTAAATTATTCCGATTCTATCTTTTTTTTTTTTTTTTTTT